TTGATTGTCTGGGGTGTGTTTCAGGGAAGATTTCACAAAAGAGAACATGAAAAGCTGCAATTTAAAGTATCAATAGAATCAAGAAGGTGGGGATTGGGGACAGTGAATAATGTACAGGAGAACTGGGAGCAAAGTCCCACAGCCTGTGTTTCTTTTTTTTTTTTCTTAATATTTTTAGCTGTAAATGGACATCTTTATTTATTTTTTTATGTGGTGCTGAGAATTGAACCCAGTGCTTCACACATGCTAGGCAAGCGCTCTACCACTGAGCCACATCCCAGCCCCACACAGCCTGTGTTTCTTATTGGTGGACACCATGTAGAAGAGAGTGAGAGTCCAGAGACTCAGAGGCCAGGTGTGACATCACATTCTGTGCACCATGGGAGCTAAAAAAGGCTCCAGGGTTGAAAACACAGGCTTAAATTTGTGCTTTAGGTGGCTGTCTTATGTCAGTCCTAAGAACCCTATGAACTGGGCATTGTGTCCATTTTTCAGATGAGTTCAACTCAAGTCTGAGAGAGGCAATGTACCATGCCTGAGGTTCTAGAACCAACCAGAAACTAGACTGAAGAGGGCCTGAGAGAAAACTAGATGCCTATACTTCAAATTGCTTTATGTCTCTTAGCTTAAAGGCACAATGAGTGAAATAGATTATGTAAAGTTGTAAAATAGAGAGATCACACACACAAAAATAGACTTTCAACAAGGCAATCAAAAACACTTCCCGAACATTCCTGCCAGCCTGTCATAGGAAAATCAGAGAAGGAGTCACTTTTTTTTTTTTTTTTTTTGGTACTGGGGATTTAACCAAGGGACAATTTACCACTGAGCCACATCCCTAGCCCTTTATATTAAAAAAAAATTTGAACAGGGTCTCACTAAATTGCTTAGGGCCTCACTAAGTTGCTGAAGCTGGCTTTGAACTGTGATCCTCGTATCTCATGTGAGAAATGGAAAATTCGACGGTCCATTTTCAAAATACAGTGTTTAGCCTTAATTGGGACACAAGTTTCAATGATAGCCATTTTAACTAAAGCTTTATCCTTTGCCTTCCCCAATTCTAAGATTAGCCAATTGTGTAGATTGTAATACTGAGCTTCTCTTATCAAAGTAATGGGTAGCACTGTATTACGAATAAAAACAGGTAAACTGCTTGCTCAAGTGTGCTTGCTTGCAAGATTTTCGTTGATAGCATGCCCTCGTGCACAAGTAATATTTACCTTGCTGAGTCACTTACAAGTACATGTTTGATTCCTTGTGGCACCCTGGTATTTCTAACAGTCAGTGTACCGAGGGGCTGGAATTACAGGCCTGTGCCATCATGCTTGGCAGGAGTCACTTTTTTTGACATATATTTTATTGTCTGTCTATGCTGAAAACCTTTTTATTTTTCAAAATTATAAAATATTCTTAACGATTTATATGTGAGTAACCTAATGGTGCCAAAGGGTGAATGATGTTACATAATATGTGCTGGTTATTTTCAGTGGAATTTACAGAAAACTTAGGAAACATTATTGTGACTTAAAATGATTTCCCATCCCCAAATGAGTTTCATCAGTTCTTAGTTTCATCAGTTCTATACAATTACATAAGAAGTTTTGGATATTGAGCTGTCTATAATTTACTCTTCTTTGTTGCAAATGTTTTGAGAAAGACAACAAAATATCTGTAAACACAAGGCAGAACTCTTTTGTACTGTGATGGCAGTGGTTCCAGACACCAGGTTGGACTTGGCTGTTGCTTATGGTGGGCTGGGACTGAATCCCACCACCCCATTCCCCCTGATGTCCTCTGCCCTGATTCTTTCTGTTGGGTGAAGTCCAGCAGGCTGCAGAGGCATGAAGCCTCTGCCAGAGGAGACACAGGAATAAGTGGCAGAGGAGACGCAGGACTAAGTCCTAGTCTGGCTCAGGATCTCCTGGAGCCCGGAAATTGCAACATGGAAGCTCAATGGGAGGAAGGTGCTCTTCATGAAGGTCAGGGGCTTCAGAGGAAGGGATAAAGTGCAACAGAATTAGGATCTATGTCCTTAATCAAGCCCTCCTACATTCCTGACAATTAGCTTGTTAGGAAGAGGAACAAGAGGGAAGTCTATCCTGTGCTGCCCACTGCAGTGATCCTGGGTGCACTAACAGTATGGCAGCAAGAACTGGGGCGGAAGTCCAAAGAGTTGAGCCATTTTCATCTATTTTAAGGTGGACAAGAAGGGATCAGGCAATGATGTGTGTAGCTGGAGACTGTTGTTCTTTAGGGAGAATACAATCATAGGATCCTTGGTGATAATCAAATTTTTGTACACATAATCTTTCCTGTTTATTGATCGGAATATTACAGGTTTTATCATCAAATAAGTGTGAGATTTCTCTTATATATTT